AGAGAAGAGACGCGGCAACACCGTTTATTGGAAGACGAGACAAAATTAGGCCATAGAGGCTCTAAATTTATAGGACGAAACGATTACCATACATGGCAGTCAGACACAGAACGAATCAAATGAAACAGTCATATATGGCAGTCAGGGCGTCAGAGCAAATCACGTTACAGGGGCATCAGAAAGCAACGCGAGAAAACAGCAGTCCAGATAGCGCACAGGCGTTCGACCGCACGGCTGCAATCTGATTGGCTGAGTGGAACCGCCCACGGCCATATCATCCGAACTGGGCCCGTCGATCGAGTTGGCGTGATTCGTCCCGGCTACTTCGTTAGGAAAATGTGCCTCCCAGCAGACACCTCCAAAGTTCTTATGCCAGATTCTTCTGACATATGCAACCGACTGAGTTCTGACGGAACTTGTGCGCGAACTGTACGAAACGTTCAGGAAGGGAGTCTACAAAACTGTGTAATAAGTGAAGTATGGAACACCAGGTTGCTCTTGGTACGGGATTCTAAACTGCACTTCCCGACTAAGTAATGAAGTGATCACAATCAGAGTATGACGAGCTAATGCTTCAATGGTTAATAAACATGCATTAATGGAATAGCACTAGTAGGGTACAGTCTAACGTTTATCAATGACTCATCACTAGCGCGTGCTAATTCACTAGTGATTGGTTCGTTGTGAACAAAGACATTGAGAACTGGAGACAGACATAATTTCCTGTCCAGGTCAGTTGCAGTTTGAACTCGGTGTTGGAGGGGTTAGTTACTAAAATTGTTATCTCATGGCTGGAATTGATGGCTTTTAATCATATTTTAATACACCAAATAGACAATCATATAAACATGTCGGTATAGAAAATGGTGGTTGAAAGAGGTGCTCATCATTGGCAAGACAAAGAACAAACACAACAGCAAAATGCTCAAACCTCGGGCTTTATACCAGACGGATGGTTGGTATCGGTTCAGACGAGCTGTCCGAGTAAACAGGTTATGCACACCTGGGGCCGGAGGGTGAGTATTAATAAACATTGCCTCAAAAAACGCGAGTAATCTTAGGTCTCGAGTACAGCACAGTAAATAAGCCGAGCACCGGTAATCCGCCATTGTTCAGAAAGTCAAATGCAGGATTCATCAAAACGGAGAGAAAACATGTTACGGTTAGTCAGCATTTAGTTTAATCTCTTCAGCCACCTAATTAAAGCAATCAATTCGTACAATTAACTAGGATGAGAATGGCATGCATGTGAACGGATGACATAGTATGGATTAGAATTTCACCACCAAGCAACGGATACACGTGGGGTCGACACTTTTGTGTGCACAGAGTCCAACTGATAACCATAGGGTTCAGGCATGAGTTGCGCAACAATGCAGTGAATGAAGTGATCGGGTTCATTGTATGCCCAGTCATATGGATGCGCTTCGCAACCGGAGATGATAGGTTACGTTGTTCTTCGTTAGCCATCGTGGTACCTTGCTCCACCGAACTGACCAGCCACTTGGAGGATAGGTTCAGATATTCGGTGACAAAGGAATTGATCTATTCCGCCAATCTAAGTATAATTACAACTGAAAAACGAAGTGATGGTCAATATGAGAGGTGATGCGGTCAAATGAACAACGCTTAGCTTTACTCCCTTGAGTTGATTGTAAGATGCACAGTTTAGCTGCAGAGTACGCCCAAAACAAGGCAGACTGAAGCCCATGCCAAAATGTGTTAGCCAGATGCCCTCCCCGAAATTGCAACTATGGAAAACATTCTTTTTGAGCACAGTGTACACAACCTGCGTGGTGTGCTTCGGTTTGCTATAGACACCAATAAATCTGTGGGGATATCCATTAACATAAAGTATCTTCGTTACGAACTGTTCTTCAAAAGCTAACGTATCAACCTTACAAATTCGGCGAGCTCGACTGAATAATGCGTTAAGCAAGCTGTGATTATCGTTGGCGGACGCGAAACTACTAACGTGGATATAGTGACGACGCCAAATGGGTAAACAATAAACGAAGCTAGATTACTACTGGATTCCGTCGTTGAAGTAGCAGTCAAATGCGAGTGTAATGATTTCATGTCATTAGAAAACTCGATAAAGTGATCATCAACCAAGGGACATATCTCCAGCTGCCCCATCAACATGACTAAACTGAGATCCCCCAAATTCAAATCGTATTTCTTCTGTGCATAAGATAATTAAGTCTCTAAGATATTCGAGAGGAAATAGGATGAAAGGATTTTGCGATAGAATCAAATCATATAACAACCCGTCAGTTCAATGTAAAGGGATAGTGACAGAAGATGATTCGACGTGGATAGAAAACGTTGTTGTTGCACTCCCGAAACATTTTCCAAGGTGTTCGTAAAGTCAAAAGTATCCTTGACGCAATATGGTGCCAACATTTTGAACACCCGGTGAATCAGTTCAACAAACTAACGGGCAACCTTGTGGTAAGGGGAATTATCCATGGTCAGTATTGTTCGTAAAGGGACACTGTCTTTGTGTGTTTTAAAAGATTCTGTTATGCGAGGCGTTTTGATACCGGTTGATTGAAGTTGTTTGTATAGTGTTTTGTTAAGGCAGCCATGTAAAAGTAGTAATTGTAATTTTTGTGCGGGCTACTTTTCAGTCAGCTTGTGCCAGCTTGTGTCAGGATTAACTTTACTGTGGTCTCCTAGGGTTACTTTCACTGTGTTTCACTATTCAACACCGGAGCCCTTGTCCGGATGAAAAAAGAAGACGTTCTTCATGTCTCTTAGCTGTTTAAGAGATTGACACTGTTCGGATGTCAGACAACAGTGCTGATGGATCGGTGCCGAAGTGAACTCAGACGTTATATTAACCACCTTTGTCCTGAACCAACTAGCATTATCTGCGGCTGTTAGGATAGACCTTTCCAGGTGACCGAAAGGGTTTCCTAATTGAACCTGCGTCTACAACTTATTGATTTATTCCGAGGGTATCGTGGAACTCAACTACAGTGAGATCACTTCTATATGGATTTTCGTGAGCGTAATGTCCGCCAAATTATGAACATGATTGTTCGGATCCGTTAGAAATACAAACGAGTCAATTTGGTTTTATTGATAAGACGTCAGAGACCAATTTTATGCGCACAAAAGTTATTAACTCAGGGTGTATCTGTTACTTGGTCGTAAAATCCTAAACCGTACTGTATCATCCGTTCAAGTGTATGCGATTCTTATCCCATTTAATTGTTTGAACTGATTGCTGTAAGTAGGCGGCCGAAGAGATTAAACTAATTGTCGACATCCCGTAACATCTGTGTTCATGAATTAAATGAAGTGGATCCAATGTTTTAAATGTAGGATTGTCAAGGCGATTAATCAACATTTCGTGTCAATCTCCTGTCAAGTGCTTAGGACATTCCAACTTGTCGTGTTAAACTTAACTAATCTGATCGAAAAAAATGGACACTTTTTACTGTACTCAAAAGTTATTGATATGTGGCTAAAAGCTCACAAGTGCCAAAGTGCATATCAAGTTTGTTACCCAAAAATATATTCAGAATGCACTTGCACAACTGCTTGTCACACCGTGATAGTCTAGTGGTGAGGACATTGCGTTGTGGCCGCAAAGACCCAGGTTCGAATCCTGGCCACGGCAAGCGTGGTCTTGTTAACGGTCATTCACAACGAAACCCATCGGTGGTAACGTATAACTATTGCCTCGATCATGCTCGGCGAACAGAACGTGGAAAACGTTGGGTCTAAACAACTGACCGGTTGCAACATAATCGGAATACAGGTATGGTGATTCTTTTCAAAAGGGG